TGATGCTGCGATAGACATTAATTGAAAAAAAACAAACTATAGGTACTCGTACATTCGTGGGTGGGTACCTAGCTAAAACCGTAACAATGTAAGCGAAATATCAAACCAAAATAATAAGAATGCCGTCCAAGTTATAATTATAATGACACCTTTAATGGTGTCATTTTAAAGATGACCACTGTACATTGATGTTAATCGAATCAACTCAATATTATATATTTTAACCAAATTTACAGAGTAAACAACCGAGTCGTTCATAGCTTGTGAGCAAAAAATATCAAAATATGTCAATAAAAAAAAAAAAAAGTGTTCACACATTTAATAAAATATTTTTTTCATGACTTTGGAATTATTGATTGAAATGGATAACAATAATGCGGCTGAGAGCAGTACAAGGAGGCGAGTGGAAACATATTATATTGTTTTTCTTAAATAAAAACTCGGGTGAATAAAAAAAAAAAAAATACCACTTGGAAAGTAAACAAATTGATATTAAACAATATATAGAAAAGTAGTATTGTAAACTTTTTCCAGATCAATAACGATATACATACGACTTGGAGTAAAGTTCGTGCAGATGGGGCTACACTCGGCGGCGTCGACGAGGACTGATTTTATAAAGCAAACAGGGACGTGATTCTAGTAACAAACTAATATATATACCGTTTGAAATGTTTTTAGAAGGTGTTTGAGTTGGTCGTCGTCGACACGCGAAATCAATACGCTTGGAGTCTCCGCCGTCGACTTTGAAGCACACGCGGGTCACAAATATAATAATATATGAACACGATTTTCGGGTGTTGGAATTCGCTCGCCGGAAACAGGGGAACGGCATCAATATTAACGATAAAAATTATCAACGAAATCAAGTCGTCACCGCGTTTTACCGACCGGCTACCTCACACTAACAAGTAGGTCTTCCTCGCCAGTTACCTCTAAATTCTCGACTCTCTGCGGCTGGTCTTCGCGTGTTTAAAATTAACAAGTACAGACACATTATACTGACGCTACGTTCCAGCCATTTCGGTCCTCTTGTCGATGAAATGTGTTCACTTGTTGAAAAAAAAACCACAAACAAATCTAGTAATAATAATAATAATAATAATATTGTGATACTCATCGTATACAACAGTGTAATAAATTCACCATAGATATACGTACCATGTCACGATAAACAGGGTCAACGGTTTTGTAAAGTGTAGCCGGCGGAATAATGGCGAATCCCATTATTCCGAACGCTAAAAAATAAACATCATTAGCGAACCACCGTCCCATCGAATATTTTGTGAAGTTGACACGAACACGATAACGTACCAAGTGCAATGATGCCCATGCTTATATCGTGTCGTATGCGCACACGATCTGCGACGGATGTTTATTGTGAGTATAATAATGGTCTATAGGAAGTGCCTGTTCTGTGAGTATTAAAATTCGAAAAAAAACAATTTTTTTTATTGATCTGCAAATACAACTTGTTAGCGAGGGCCATGAGTTAAAAAAAAAAATTGTATTCTGAATATTTTAATTGAGTTAATATTTTAAGGTATTAATTAAGTTTTCAATCGAGTAGCTGAGTAGCTATTGACAAACAATAGTGCAGTTTGGAAATCAGTTAACGCAATAAAATTATATGAATATTCTCGCTAGTTGTTGAAGTGTTTTTTTATTGAATACTTATTATAATACTGATGGTATACAGAATTAATGAACAAAATTGTACCTATGTGCAATTCGATAATAAATTTATACATTATTTTTTTAGAACTGATAAAAAAATCATACTCGCACCCATATTTTTAATTGAATAATATAACACTATAGATTTGTTCATGATGATTAATAAGATAATATTACCAATGTGCGCTATATACTTTTTTTTTCAGTAGGTAAATAATAAAAAGCATTGAGGTCATTTAAGTTGTTCAGATAATATTATTGAAATAATATTATATTTTATTCACACACTTCGTGCTCTTATTTAACAATTTATTCAAACCTAACACTGTGCTGACGCATTTTACAAGAATTTAAGTTTCATACACTCGCTGGCGACTAAAATTAACTTTACTTAATTTTATCTCTGACCGAAGAGAAAACTTTCGGAATTTACATAAAAACTGCGAGTTAAACTTTTGTTTGTACTCTTCACCGTAAAAACAAAAATCGTAAAGTCGACTTGGCCCAAATTTGAGGCCAAATCCATTCAATTGTTCTTTTTTAAAGTTCATAATGAAACGTCTGAATGAGAATGCATTTTTTTTTTAAATTCATTACAAAAGTTTAAAATGTAACCGACAGTTGATAAGTTGAGAGAATTGTCGGGAACACGGTAACATCACACCAAAATAACATTATGCACTGTATATTAGTATTAAATTCATGATAAATCATAAATGGTTTTACTTTTCCTTATATGAAACAAAGAGATTTTTTTAGTACACAATTGTTATGTACCTACAATAATATGAAATGAATTTTAATTAAATGTGATATCTATTTAGTTCATAGGTAGCAAGGCAAACATATGTATTTATGTTTATGCTTAATATTATTATTTATTTTCTCTATGTTATTCACATTGAATATTTTTTTATCTAAATAATAGAATATTTCAAAAGTGAAATTGATGCTTTTTAATTTTTCTTCTCTAGTTTATCTAAGTGTCAAAAAATTGAAAACAATCTCTAACTAGAGTGTATTTATTGTTATAGAACATGGGTAATCGTATAATATTATGATTTATTTTGTTATATTTAATTTTTATAACAATGTTCGTTGACATTTTAATAATGTTTTATGGACACTCAGAATCAATTGTTGTAGACTTCCAGTTAGTATATTATATTTTATAGTATGTTTCATACCACATTTTAAAAAAAACTACCCTATTATAATATTATGTTGATGTATAATAAACCTTCACCGAGGAACATGAAGTATGACGAATACACACAATACGTGGTCTATGCATCCTGTCAGGGTTTTAGTGTTTTTATTATTTACTGTTTATGGAATAAAAATAATTTGTTGCAACAATTATTTCTGTTTTTATGTATGTATACGCTGTACGGTAACATTTAACTATACATTATTATTATTTAAATTCTTTGTCAGCTGTCGTTTTAGGTGATAATTATTTTATTGTGTGAAAGCTTCAATACTCCTTTTGAAGACAACTTTACTGGTGAAAAGCACTAAACCATTCTATAAAATGCACTCTTTTCAGATTTCAGGCGATTGGATACTTTAAAAAACCAACACAATATCGAACAAAGGAAAATAATAATGTATTTCAACAAGATGTTAATCCATTGCATTACACAACTTCAGTTAGGCTTGACATCAATTTTCGAGAAAGTGGATTGAACATCATGAATATATGGATTTCGACACGGCCTTTGACACAATTATAACATTTCTTTTTGTAAAGGGTCGTTTGAAATAGTTGTTTACACAACTCAAAGGATAAAACTGTAGACATACGTAATAGATTTTTAAGTAAAGTGTTCCTATATTGCCTATATATTACGCCGTGTTATGGCTTACAAATAGTAGTTATAGTTATGCTTCAAAATATAATCACTCGAGAGCTGAGGTATTTGATGTTTATAATTATAATAATTATTTTGAGGAATATAATATGACAATTATTTCCCGAATTATAAAAAAATAACTAAAATCAATGTTGCTTTTGATTTGATTAACTTGGTGACCTAGACTCCAATATTGACTTACTATCCACACCGTTACTCAATATTGTAACTTAAGCACTAAGGAATTAATCTCTCATTGATTTGTCTGATTCGCCACTGATTTGGTTAACTTGGATGTAAATTTGTAGCACTAATGTGGATGATCGGTAATAACTGTTAGAGCACGATATTATTGTAATTTATTACCTACCTATAAAATAAATTAGGTTTATTCGCGATAAAGTAATTTGAAACGAGATGTGTGTACATGTGGGAGTCTCACTACAGTTCAAAATACTTTAATTTTCTACACTACATATATTTTGTAAAAAGCTGTATCTTAAATAAATGTATATTATATTATAACTAATTGACGTTTAATTTTAATTTTTTAAGTGGATGGAGATTGTATATTTTTATTTACATTGTGTTTGCTATTGTAATTAATTAAAATACAATTTAATAACCTCGTTAAGTACAAAAATAAAGTCTTCATAGAATATGTTTAATGAAATTAAATGAAAATAAGTTCAGTTTGTCCTAATTAAGAGATGTGCTCAAATTACCGTGGTTCCGTTAAATTACAAAAAAAATCATAATCTAATATTCTACAATTTACAGCCATTATTATGAAACAATAATATTATATTCGTTGCAGTTGTATCCTTATTGTGCCATCTAGTGGTTGATAACTGAAACGTCGCTTTCATATTTCAACGTCTTATCGATAGTTTTTTTTTATTAATCACCTTGACCACTTTATTATTAATAAAATACATTAAATAATACAATTTTTAAAAACATGATTGTTGTATTAGAATTACATTTGAATTTATAGAGAATAAATATTATGCTTTTTACGTCAGTGAAATACTGTAAATAACTACCATGATTTGTACACAATACTATATCCAGTACAATATATACAATTTAATTGTATTTTTTTTTCAATTAAAATAATAATAATTGTATTAAACTGTTTAATTTAAAGTCGGTTACAGCAAACTGATTATAGTTTGATAGAGCTATTAATTATTATCATTGCATATTAGTCCTGGGATTACTGCTTGTCAGCTCATAAGTTCTTTAAAAATTAATGTTGCAGACAAAAATACCAAAAACACAAGACTTACCAATCGACTATTGTGTAAATTAATTATATTGTAAAAAAAATATTGTACAACTAATTAATTAGATTAGATGGAGTTGTTGTTATAAAACATAATATATAACTGCAGTACCGTCGATTTGAAATTTTTATGTTACGACTAAAATAATATAATAGCCAAATTAAATGAATTAACATTATTTTATATTATCATTTACATATTTTATAGGCTTCAATAGTATAGTATTACATTATAATATGTGTGATGCGGTATAAATCACTGAACTCCGAGTCTCTGAAATGTGGAATAATATTTTTTTTTTTTTTTACACCGATGGTCGTCCGACACGCGGCCAATTATTGTTGTCGGGCGAGTGGATCGACGATAACTCTGTGTCATTTTACGTCTCCTCAATAATATACCGACGACAACCCTTTTCCGCCGAGGGGCTCGGTGAATTCTAGCTCGGAGTAGGCGTCATTCGAGTTGGAAACGAATTTGATCAGACCGAACTTCTCGAACTGCACTTTCCACGGCCGCGTGAGCGTGGCTCTCAGTAGGGCGTCCACGATTTTGGATTTCAGATCTCCTGCAAAAGCCGATCGCAGACGTCAACATATTTTTAATATCACGGGACGACGGGTCGCATGGGTAACGCGACGTGGTATGAAAAATATGTCATGCGTTTAACGTTATTTTTCGTCCAGTCAAAACCGAAAATAATAATTACCGTTTAAGTGTTTTCCGCAGACGATCGCGTACGGAGGTAGAGGCCCGAGGCTGTCCAAAATGGTTATGTCTTCCGATTCCTTGTGCAAAACGTTTTTGTAATTGTAAAAGGCCGTAGAGTCAACGGCCGCAGCGATCGCTTTTTTATCTTGCACCTTCTCCACGGTCAACAAATGATTTCCGGTCTCTGTAACACGCACGCGCACATCGCCGGATGTCAGATACTTTACTATATTATTATTGCTGTTGTTATTATTATTATTATTATTATTATTATTATTATTATTATTATTATTTACACTTGTGCGTAGATTTAACGTATGGTTACGGTCCGACGTAAATATCGTGCTCAACACGTACATACAGAGTGATACAACAAGAATGCTCTCACCCCTGCGATTAATAAGTACCTATTCATTAGGATTGCTAATTTTATTAAAACTTTGATTTTTTAATCTGCAATAAGTAGATATAAGTACACTTGAAAGTCGCATTTTCAAATACTTAGATTTTTTTACCAACCATATTTTACACGGTGCCTATGCTGTGGCGGTGAAAACTTCATTTATTATTTTTAATTTATTTTCAGAACAGAACCACGACCTTTTCTACTGTAAATTGTTAGTCAGATGATTTTTTTCCATTTAAGAATGGCGATATTCTTATTTATTCAATTTTGTGTACTTGAGAAAAATTTGTTTTACGATTATAATAAGCTAACAAAACACATGCAAGACATGCATTTATATAAACTATTAAGACTAGTACTCTTTATACTCTGAAGATTCTTACAAATTATACAACTTTCATACATTAATATTAACTACTATAATTTTAAAACTATCGAATAGCCTCTATAACTTCTAAGCTTATTATCATGGAATATTATTCTTTGAAAGTATACTCAAAATGTCATAACTCCAGAACTCCTAATTTTGATTTCGATTCATCAAAATTTTCAAAAATCATCTCTATAATATTTTACAATAAAAATGGTGGTTTTAATTTGGAAAAAAATTTTATGTCGCCTCGAGGAACTCTTTAAGTCGCATCAAAATCTAAGTTTTTGAAAACATGGGCAATAAGTGAGCTAACTTCAAAATGCCAATGGCGGAGGGTGAGAATATGCTCGGTAAATTCTCTTGTATACCTATTATTTGTTTATAATAGAACTCGGTGTTAATACATTTTAAGAGAAAAAGATTCACAAACGAACTTGAAGTGTGTCTAATCTTATGAAACAAAAAAAACTTATGATGTTTACAAAAATAATTTTGCCGAATTCTTTTTGCGATTTTTTTTCGTCACTATTTATCAAGTACATAGGTATTTTATATAATTACAGTTATCGTGTATAATTACTCTGCTCTTGAGAAACAATTGAGCAAGTAGTTTTAAGTGTATTATAAGAACAGCCAACAGGCACGCTGTACTATGATAAAAAATACATAGATACAGACAGATACGACCGGTGCTGATGATCCTCCTAACATACAATTAAAGGTAGCGTGCCGTGGAAATAATGCACCGAGTTTTGAAGATGAACGCTTTAATAATAATAATTAATAATTAATTTTTGTCGGGTGACCAACCGGACAGGTGGGTAGGTTGTCGTTGGTCGTTTAATACTGTGTTGTTCGTATGAAATACTACGATTAAACGGCATTAGACGCTAAAATCTAAAATGGAAAAATCATCCGACCGATAAGCCGACTACAGTGATTGTTGATAAACTACTTATTAATCTTCAACGAAATTCCATTCAATGGTAATTAGTAATACTATAGACATCAGTAAATATTAATAGTATTACCTAAGCAATAATTTAGTCATTTTAGCTATATTTATTATATTTTAAACTGTTTGCATTATACGTTTTGATTTAACTACCAGATTAAAGTTTGTTTATAATTCAAATTAATTACCCCCCCCCCCCTACTCGGACGACTAATTATGAGTATTGTATATTTTAAACACTACATTCTGATAAAAAAAGATAATCAATTAAGATAAACAATTGAGTGAAAGAACCGTGTTTATAAATTAGTTTATTATTGTCGTTGTATGAATACTTTCTATTTTAAATTAAGTGAACTTTCTATCCGAAATAAAGTTAGATAATAAAAAAAAATGTTTTACCTGCCTATACACAGAGGAAAATAACTTTTCTTACTTTTGTTATGAGTAAATATTATATCATAAATATATAATAAAAGACTTTTGGAAGAAAAAAAATATAAATATATTATGAAATTCCACACATTAAAAGATCAAGATGTCGACATCAGCGAAAATGTGGTTTATTTTCTCGAATAAAAGTAAAATGGAATTCTTACCCCAATGCCTTCCTAGTAATTTTTTATTTATATAGAAACAGCGTTGTAGTTAAACCAAATAAATTGCATTTATTTTTAATTATTGTAATTCAAATTATCTCTGAGAATAATGTACGAAACCATTCCTGTAATAAAATTGTAAAAAATAGAATACCTAGGTGGGTAGCGAAATATAAAGTACATAAATATTACACAACTACAAAGTGCAAAGTGAGGTTGATTTGTATAATCGTTGAAATGATTTTACTTTTGGATAATACATTTTATTAAAATAAAGATAGCATTTCTCATTGACAACTTAATGTGGAGCACATGCTCATAAATTTATAACTGGTTTTAAAGTAAGTTATATTTGAACAACAATGACTTTGTTTTAAACTTTCGACATACATATATTACATACATTGTTTAGCGAACAGCCAATGAATCAACTTTTATTACACCGTAATTTTTCATTTAACTTGGCAATGTTCAGTGCTTGCGTAGTCCCACGCAGTTACATTTTTTCGAATATTTTTATTTCCGAAAAATTATCAAGTCGCACCCATAATGCCCAACGGTCGTTGATTATTTCGTAGTGATACTGGTACAGGTAATATCATATCAAATTTTTCAAAGTTTTAATATTTTTTAAATGACATAACAAAACGTAATATTTTTAAGCACGACTTATTTTACGAACGAGTTAATACAATTTCAAGTAAACAGATACCTATTTTATAGTGTTTACTGAAACAACACTCCAAACACGGTTGAAGATCACCATATATTTTTTTTTAATATTTATGTAAATATAAATTAATAATTATGACTGAAATTAACAGAGTAAAATGCAAAATTAATTATACTATAATATAATCATTTTACATATATCTTTAAATATTTTACACGTATACCTCGTAATTAAAATAGTCTGCAATTAAGGTGTGACAAACATTATTCAATCTAACCTATTTTGACATTTCATTAATGATATGGAATTCAAATACTCAATTTCCCTGCATCTTATATTTTGCAATGTAATAATAATAAAATATTATGCTCGCCGTATTTGTCATTTTCTAATTAATTTCTGGTTTGACTTGTCGAACTACCTTGTAATATATTTATACGTTTGTATGAGACTTTTGGAATGTCTTGACAAGCAATTTTTTCAGAATTTGTTTTACTGTCGAGTTAGCTGCACTGAAGTATATAGTGACGCTAATAATATTATTGTCGACCAAACCTTGTTTCGTTACGATTATAATATATTGTTATGCACGTTTTGTTTTTTTTTTTTATGCAAGATGAAGACATCATTGCACACATTATCGTAACTATAATATATAATATATATAGGTACATTAACAATTAAAATATTTTCAGTGTTGGATAGTATTTACGTTTGAAAAAACGTCGAGGAATGCGTTTTTTGTTATTATTATTTATCCGGTGCAAAAAAAAAAAAAAATGCGTACCTACCAAATCTGACCTAAATATTTTGTGGTAATCGATTTGAATTCGTTAATTGGCAGAAAGTACAAAAAATTGTCGGTCGCCTTAACAGCTGAACGTCGTATACACACACCTGTTGTGTACATACCTGCAATTATTATTATTATACCTTACAACCCGTGGCGAGCTGTAATACCTATCTACCTGTATGCAGGACGAAAGGATGATAGCGTTAATATTAGAATATAGAATGATCATAGTTACTTGTCGTGTTGCCGAAAAACGACGAGTTTTCCCCGTGAGTCCTGAGCAATTTCTGTATGGTGAGGCTGCTGCTGAGTGAATTGTCTCCCGTGTATCCCCAATTGCAGCCCCTCAGGTCCAGGAACGACTTGACGGTTTTCCTGCGCGTTTCCGGTAAAACAAAAAAAAAAACAAAGTATAAAATACAGGACATTGCTGCACGCCACGGCGCATAATATATTATTATAAAAATATTTTCAATGCGTGATATCGCGGGTTAGCTAACTCGACATCCGTGTGCATAATGACGTCCGCGAAGTATCCCGGTTTCTGTGCCGCGTTCCTGGGATGCGTGAACACGGGTGTAATCGGCAGCAATTCGATTTTTTTCGACTTTTTCATCTTCAAGTACTGCGTGGGGCTCAAAAAACCTATACACACCAAAACGCACGGTAACGACAATATTATTATTATACAGTAGTGGGTAAAATGTCTTTGCAAAAATATTATTTCTCGAGCTAATATTATGTTAATCGATTGCAATATTATAATAATGCGATTGATATGATACATTTTAAAATCACAATAATATAATAATCCATTTCAGCTAATATTCGGCGGTTCGCGACCAAAATTATATCAGCGTACCACCTACACAGTTTGAAAATTTGCATGCACCACTTGATCAAATAACATTTTTTTTTTGTTTGTTAAAAAATGTGTAGTTATTTTACACGAAGTACTGAATTGTATTTTATCAGGAAATACACAATATTAGTATAATATAGAAACATTCTTCTGCGCAATATTTAATTAAATATGAAATTTTTTTATGAATAGGAATTTAGCGTACTGCCAGACATATGCTTTCTACGTTCCACAAGTCGAGAAACTCTGTAATAACTGTTTTAATAATACATTATTAATCAGGAATCATTTGAATACATATTATCATTACTTATGGTTACTATTTAGATACATTAATGATTTGACGTGCGCCCGTTAATACGCAGAACAGTGTTTACAATTATTTCATTAAATGTTTCAAAAATCTATTTCATTCAGTAATAATAATATGTATATTAGTCGGTAGTAGGCATGATGATAAGATATCACTGTTGTCTCGTTTTACGCGTAATAATTTTTAAACGAGACCACTTCACTTTCCGACAAACGTTTCCTCGCCGTCACTGTATGGCTGTAAAGTGTAAACTATTGTAAGTATAATATTGTAATAATATCGGTCTTACTCAGTTCCCGTACTTTCATAAAACAATATTAATGCACTTAACTATTTATCGCAAGGATTTGATGTTAAATCGTCATGTTTAAAATGTTAATAGCAATAACAAAAAGTTAAAATGATTGAACACCCCATTGTGGATATATAAAACAAGTATCGCACTGCGAATTTCATTTTTCGCTGCATAACAGCTATTAATGTTTATTTTAATGAGATCATTAGACATTTTAATTTATCTGTTATAACGACGACAACGACGATGATGATGATGGTAGCGATAACAATGATAAAGGTATAAGAAACTAACGATTGATTTGTGTTCTGTCCGAGTTGATAATAATATAGATTATGTAATCATAAAAAGCATCAACAATATAATATGAATCATAAAACATAAAACATTGAAAAGGTAAGTGCTTTTATACAGATTATTTTATATCAAAGGCTAAATTTAAATTAATTATTCAAACTAATAATGTTTGGTACAATATGTATAATGTATATAATATCAAATGTATAGGAAGTTTTTTAATACCTACTTATATTAAATTACCTGTTTATATGTTATCAAATTATTTTCGAATTTCATTCTCTACGATTATATGACGTGTAAAATTCATTCTTTTTAGTTTCGCGATTTCTGCTTTTTTTAATGTGTACAACAAATAACAAATTTTTACTTGATATTAAAAAATACATTAATATAATATATATTTTGTATGTAAATTATATTAAAAACAAACGAATTCGAGTATAGAAAGCAAAATATGAAAACCAACAAAATTGTTTAGTAATAAAGAATATTGTTTATCATAAACATTAAAAATGTTACAATAACAACGACCAAGTCGTTGTATTGAAAAATTTAAAAAAAAATGATTTTAACGATCACCTATTGCTATTTTTTTTGCGAAGATTGTGGAATCATAGGGTTGTAAGTTGTAACGATTCATATTTTAGTACTTGATTAAAATAGTAGGTAATAATATATTATTCAAAAAAATTATTTCAAGTTTAAAAACTAAGTTGTTTGGAAAAAAAACTGGGCCATACCATAGGTCGTAAGCGGCTTGGACCTCAATATTGGTAAACCGTAATTATTCCACTAATAATACTATTTTATCCGAAAACCGTACTATATTTGGAATAGACTAAACATAAAATATACAAAAAAGCAGGAAAGTTACCATTAGCTTTATGAACAGTTTTTGCATTAAAATGAGTTGGTCGCTATAATTTACAATCACAGAATGGAAAATTATTTTTTATTTTGGCATCAACTGATATTTTTTTTTTTTATATAAATAAACAATCTATATTAGTAATAATAATAATAACCTAAGCTCATGTGCTAAGAGAATACAGGACGTTAGAAATTGAATAAGAAGCCGCCCACTGTCAACACTTAGCATGAGTTATTTATATTTATTTTTTTATTTTTTTTATTATTGATGGTTGAAATTGTATATATTGTATTATACATGTAATATATATATATAAATATTTTAAATTGGTAATTGTATGAGGTCAACTGATATTTAGATAGTAATATATTGACTTTTATGACCAAGCTCTCGTCCATATATATTTTAATCCTGCCAACGGAGAATTTGGAATATGGATACAAACGAGATACCTATCTACCTAACCTGTACCGACCTATCTAGGTGACACTAGCTGACGATAAAAAATGGTGCTTGACATACATAAATTAAATTATTATTACTATTATTGTTGTATTTGAATGACTAAGTCACTCGGAAAAAAAGGGTGTTCGATTAAAATTACTGATTCAAATAGTTATACCTAATATACCTAGGCACCTATATTATAGTATACTAATTATAAAATAGTTGTGCCTTATCGTAAGGCATAGACTATAATAATATTATATAAATGAATTGAATTAGAAAGTATTTTAGCCTAAATTTAGGTCCAAATGATAACAAAGTTCACAAGTTTTAAAGTTCATTGATGATATCGCGATTATTGAAGGTTTTTTCTTCGAACATTCTGAACGCACATTAATGAAACACGTGATAAACCTTGCATAATACAATTGTATTGACACGTTTTGTTATCAATAAAACTGAGTTAAGACATTCACTGAATAAAATAATATTTCCTTTGCTCTGTGACTAGACGTGTGTGAAACTAATAAAATCGTTTAACCCACTACAATAGTCGTTCATTCAAAAAAAAAAAAAAAACGTCCATAACATGTTAATACCGCGAAAACGAGTATGAATACAGTAAAATATTTCATCAACAACCAGCGTTTATGTAAAATTAAATATCGCAAATATTCGTGATGGCCGTCGAGTGTGAAACGGTCTTATCTAAATAAAATTATATTTATGCCATTAATAACGCTGCATGAACCAAACATTGCCGACGCCGTTCGTGTACGATTGACGCCGTTTTCTGATTCCGTTAAAATAAATAATATTTGCAATACTATATTATGTAATGATGATAAATGCAAAATGTTCCATGACATGCCAGCTTACAAGACTATACATTATAACAAGGTCCTATTCTCACTCAAATTTGAGAGAATTTGATTATTAATATTTTTATCATACATTTTATCTTTTTATTAGTGTTATTATAATATTATACAGCGGGCGACCACTAAATTATGTAATGTTAAGTATAATAATAATAATAATTTTTTTTTTCCGTTCAGTACCTATGTCCACTTCTTTCAGGCAAAAGGGATCGGGACGGTCGTCGTCGTACAGGCCGATGGGGTCTCTGGACTCGTAGACGAGCGTCGCGCTGACATGGAGCTCTTCTTCCAGGAAATGTGCGATGCCCTCGTAGAACTCGACGGGGTGGCTGGGCACCAGGTAGGTGATCAATCGCAGCGAGTGTGCCATTCTATGGGTCCGCCGCCGCCGTTTTCCTATAACGCCTCGTACGATCTGACACTGTACAGGTATCTCGCGGTATTACCGGGTTAGCGGTGACGGCGCGAAAAGTCACGGAAAATCGCGGAAACGTATGGATATTATAATAATATACTATCGAAATTGTGTAGTAAAGTACCGGTGTAAACGATCGGTCAGCGACTCGAGACGACTTTCTCGGACGGACCGCGAACAGCCAACAGAAACGATGATAACGGCGGCCAGCGAGTGGGAGAATACGCGATGAGTGAGCCGTCTTTGGACATTGACGTTCAGATAAGCCGGTGCCGGTCGCGATAAACCGAATGCCGCCGCCGACTCCGAGTGCGTCGAGAGTACGTCGACGTGTAATAATACTCACGCAGGCCAGGACGTGGAATATTATGACTTCTCGGGTGGTTTGATACTTTTTATACTCCAACAGCTGATGAAAACTTTATTTTAGTAATTAACTGCCGGAATCGCCGAGAAAATTATCTCCTAAAACATATACCCGCGCGTGCGCACATAACATTATATTGGTTCGTGGATTAACATATAATTATTATTATAAGGTAATACATATAGATTGTAGGACACAGTCGTCGGCATAAACGTGCACACAACAATTTAGATAAAACCAAATGGTACAACACGTCGATCGTTAATTATTTATTACCGTTTTCGATGTCGATCATTACAATATTACGTTCTACAGGTAAGTACTAGACAACAATATTCGGTCTTAGTTTCTACCACGGTCATTGTTCAACGATGCGTGTGAAGTGCTCGCAGTGCTCGTAATTGATATAAATAATAATAAAATCCATACTATACGAGTACAGCCTACGGGTATGGGAATTCGTTCAAAAATGGGTCATTTTAGTATTAGACTAACTACTACAATAAGTACGCATTATTTGAATAAGCTAATCGAGGAATTCAAAGTCCACGTCATGTAAAATACAAAAGAACATATCGAAATCAACTGTTCCCAGTCACTGGCAATCATAAGAAAAAGTATAACACGTTAATACAAAAACTGTTTTCATCGAATTCATTATAGTTCTAGAGTGAATATGCAATAAAGTAGAATAAACTGAATGAGTAATTAATATTAAGAGTCCATTTAAAACAAAAAAAAAACCTTAAAATATAAAAATAGGACAGTTGAACTTGCGTTTTAAAAATTAAAAACCCAAATCACATTATCTAGATCTAAAAATACTAGAAAAACTACGTTATCTCTAAAATGATGTCGTTATTGTATTGTATTATTATGTTTACAGCATTATAGAAGTGTATAGTGTATACTAATATGCAAACACAAAACAACAAAAAAAAAAACAATAAATCTCATTAATGATTCGGTGTGAGCAATGAAATAACATTAACTGTAAGTAACTACAATTCGTCGTGTGTGTGCAGTGTTGTAATAAAAATAACGACTTAACTTTTTTTCAAAATACTCTCGACGTCTTACGCTCGGGAATATCCGTTTGAGGCGAGAAAACTGTCGTCTCCGGCGATTGGCGCGGGCAGTCGAGAGTAGTGATATCATGACGACTCACGCTTACGCGAACAGAATTATTTGACAATATTTTAGTATACTGTTGTGTGTGTGTTGCGCGAGAAAATCAAAAGAAAACGAAACAAAATTTCTGCAGACGGTTGCGAGAGCGGTCCAAACGAACGAAAGTCCCACCGACCGACACGTATTTATCTGTAACACGATTGATGAAACCTTCGTCCGTCCGTGGCGCACTCGAGATGCGTCGCAGTGTATTTGCGCGATACACGTACGCGCGATTGACAGAAATTTGTTTGCTTTCATTGATAAAAAAAAAAAAATCGTGCGGAGGAAAATAAACGAACACTCGATTTTTACAAAAAAAAAACCCCGTACTGCGGACGCGAACAGGAGACAGGAGTACACGACTGTCGGCGTTTGAATGGCGAAAAAATCGAATCGAATCGAATCGAATCGAATCGAAACGCCGACGACGAAAAATCGTCGTGTTACCGTAAACATTAATATTATTTGAAATCGGAACGCGCGTCTTGCGATAATATACTATATTATATACGCCGGTCGAGCGGTGCGGCGCGTAATGTCGTGTGCGCGTGCCCAGTGTCCATACGCGTACTGAACTCATATTATCCATTCATTGAGAACGACTCTCGCACACACGCTCACTCACACACGGTCGCTTACACTGGCTCGCGACTCTCACACACACGCCGCAGGTACGCGATTCCTGGTCCGGTTGTCCGTTTATAGTCCGTTTCTACTACGACTACTGCCACTCTACTACGACGACAACAACAATTATTATTCTACTACTACTACTACTACAATTACTACTACTGCTGCTGCTGCTGTTTCTGCCATCACTACGACTATACTTACGGTACGTGACGTTATAACTGTCCGAGTGCAGACCGCACTCGTATCATTGTTATTACTATTATTTTCGACTACTTAGGTTCCACGTCTGTCCGTCGCGTCCGAGCCCAGCCGGATATACCGCGGCGAGCAACCGGTATCTCGACCGACGGAGGAGTGCGCGCGCGATGTCGGCGGCGTCCGAAAACGGCGTGCAACCGACCGCGCGCGTACCGGAAATACCGGTACGTTTTCCGCGAGACAGTGCGACGTAGCGATCCGCGGAAGACGCGTCTCCTCGCGTCCGCCCCGGGGGGGAGGGCCGAGCGATGCGCTTCGCGACCAAAGAATATAATTAATATACATCATAATACAGACACCGGACCGGAGGACGAATTATTGATATTGTCGTCGTCGTGGTCGTCGTGATTACTGATTACGCTATCAGCACTCGTTTTCCAAGTGCGAGACGGTCTGCAGCAGAGCTGTCTCGCCCTGCGGCGTCGGATCTAGTGATAAATCTCTTTTTTTTAGTGGGGGGAGGGGATCAAAAATGTAATACAATCATTCACAGCACCGGCGTTACACAATGGTTAGTGCTACCCGTATTGTATACATCATGCTATATTATGAATAATTATATATTTTAACTGAACGACATTAAAGTTTAATAATTATTTCACTAACCCGACTAGGAGTAGATAAACTATTACGATTCGTCATAGAGTACAGGTGAATATAATATAATAAAATACCATACTATTTCGAGCCCCACGACTACGGTGTTTGGGAGAGAGGGACAAATGTTCCCAACCCCCTGGATTCGTCACCGTAATTTATACATACGGTGAACGTTAAACGGTTCCCATCCATCACTGTTTGCTCGTTCCCAAATGGCAACAAAGTTTCACCTAAATCTACCCGAAGTATAATTTTTATATTTTTTAACACTAAAAGTAAATAAACACATTTTATACGTCTGCCAATACGTGCTTTTCGTGTAATTTTCATAATTTTATATGCAGAATATTTAAAATTTATAAAAAAAAAACCCAACACATTTCCTCTTTTGGGACAGTCCTAAGTTCGTGTGGATTGGGAAGGAATTTGTGGTGTAAAAACGTGGAGCCGTTTCGGAACTGACCATTTTTTTTTAAAACGGGTGCCGAATCGACTGTAAAATGTCCGTTAAAACAGTGTCAAACACTGTGACATCTGCCACCATATTATTACGTAACTCATTACAGCGCATCAAATGATTTTTACACCGTCTCGGTGTTAGACATATTTTTTTTTGCGTTAATACGATCAGAGTGTACTACGTATTGGCTACTTTTCGAATTCTCTTTTTATGCGTGAACGGACCTCAGGACCGAGTGGGTTATACAATGACGGCGTGTACGCTACGCTGAAGGTTATAGGATCGTTATGAATGGCGTAATCTTCCATTCATATTTTTCTAGAATCCTAGTCGCACCTACGTAGTATATATATAATAATAATATTACGTAAGCTCTCAATTCCACCAATAAATTGAAAATAGAAATCATACGAACATTTTCTGTTTTTTATTATTTTTTTTTTTTTAAGAAATGTGAGAGAGCACTCATTTTTAGTGAGTCATAATCGTTATTGGGGGACACTTATAGCAAATTGAAATAGATATTGACAGTAACATGGTTATAGATTTGCACGGCCCACGATGTCGTCTCTATATTTTTATTGTTACCTTGTTTACCATAATATGATATTATTTCTACTGATTTCTTCGACCTAACGGGAAATGAAAACATAAATTCAATTTTTAATTTACACGCGCCACTAAAACTAATCATATGACTGAAACTTTGTTATAAATATTTTTGAATACCTACTAATGATGGTTTTAGCCAATCGTAATATAATATACACAGTAAACCTTTTTATTTGATTCAGTCGAATTCAAATCCAACTACTATAAGACGATTATCACCACTACGTATATAGTTGAAATAGTATTATAAATAAAGTATGGTACTTGCATACTTAAATATAACTTTTATCTTTTGTTTCAAGAGCAAACAGTGTTGGCCAATGTTGATTAATTTATGTACCGGAAATTATTAACGGATACGTATCAAAATGTTTTCGTATCTATGTGGCCATGGTCAATGTTGAATGGAACAATATTTAATGTTCGAGATACATTTGTGTTATTTACTAAACTGAATAATATTAATTCGATAGAAATAACCATACACAAGTTTACTTTTGTTGTGGTGCCGATAGCGTAATTAATCAGAGGATTGGTTGTAACTTGTAATTATGATTTACCGCAATGAATTGGCCACGTTTCAAATGGAAATATTACGCACAGTAAATGTATAATATTATACTAGATAGACGAAAATCTCGTGTTTTGGTATAAATTATTTAATATTATTCCTGAATAAATACAAACAATACGAGAAGTCTTCGACAAACTTAAAGTTTCCAACATGGGTGTACTGATAATTGATTTATGAAACGTAAGCCCGTTACAACAATTAAAACCATGCTGTGTTCTATCACAAAACTAATGGCTATTTAAATAATAATTAATCCGAAAATAAAATTATTGTTTATGGTTTGCACGATACATTTTTGCAGTTTATCAATTACTGTAATTTAATATTCTCATACAAACGTGTAAATGTTTTGTTTCAAAAATAATATCAAGCCTAATCTTGTCGTTTAAAATTAGATAAAATTATCATATTAAAATGTTAGTTCTTTAATATTTTAAGAAGTGTATAACTGTGTGACACCGACATTAGAAAATGTTATAATAAGTAAATAGCTATTCATTAATTATTAGTGTCATTACATTCCATAAAATAGATAGTTAAATAATTAAAATTCAGTTAAATTGTGTGTGCTATTTTTTTTAAATATATATACTTAATCTTGTAAACACGACAAAACGTAGTAGGTATTCCGAATTGTGCATTCTTCGATGTAACTTAAGACCCTTAAGACTTAGAAAGATTTGATGATTGAAAATGTATTATATATTACTTTAAAAGCATTCTAAAGGTATAATATATTAATTTGTGAATACTTTTTTCATTTATTTATATTTTCACATTATCCAATAGAAGGTGAAACCGGTCATATATAAATATAAAATTTAGAGGTAAATAATAAAAAAAATTGAACCTACTATACTAGTTGTTTATGCTATGCAATTAAAAAATATGATTAATTCGTGGTCGTCCTAACTGTGTGTATTTGCATGTAATTTTAATTATACTCCCTAATTGCCTTATCAAATCATAAATCATAAATAATTATTTATGTTATGTAGTATGAATAATGAATCAATTAATGTAAAAACTACATTTAAGTGTATATTATGTACAGTTTTAAATGCTACTTAAATTTTATTCGAAGAATCATAAATAACATATCAACACGACAGAACTGTTGACAAAATATTTGAGGAATCCCGGGTCATACCTATCAGTCGAACAGGTCAAAAAACTTTAAATTGTTGCCAGGACATCTTTAATGCATTAATAAAATTATAGCTGGATATAATATTATTCTATCTGACTCGTATATGCAAATAGGTCGCGAGTGAAATATAATGAATGTGATAACATATATAAGACATACCTACATACTTAATAGGTATGGAAATTGAAATGTCATTAGAAATAAATTAGACGCG